ATACTAGACATGAAGCTAGGGGACCCTCAAAAAGGGGGCACTCTGAGCCCTAAACAATGGACCCTAAGCTCTAAGCCCTAGACCCTCATCTAAGCCCCAGAACCTAATCCTGAAACCCTAAGCCCTGTAAGCCCTTACTCCTTCCCCCTAAGCTCCAAAGTCCTGCGGAAGCATCAAAGGCTTAAAGGTTGCAAAGTCAGTGATGACGGTGTGATTCCACGACCTCAGCGGCAACGCTTGAGGACTGATGTAGAAACCTCAATTAGTAGATGTTTGGAAGTTTGGGGTTCAGGTATTACGTCGAGGGAGATGCTTCCAATAATCCAGAATCGAATGGAAACGCAATGGACACTATGTCATGGAAACTGGACTTATAAGCTTCAAGGGATGACTACCAAGAACCACTATGGTATAGGTTAGGTGGACCCCCCCCCGCCCTGTAATAGCGGCTATAAAGGATAATAAGAATCACATTAGGGTGAGGTCGTGCACGTTCCACGTAATGACATATGAAACAGAACCACGCTCTGACCTTTCAAGTACCGCGATACGCAAATGCAAGAACCACGCCAAGATTCAATGACTGTGTTGTTCGGGTCACGTCTATACTATACTAGACCACACTACGCTACAAACCCTAAACCCTCCACCAACCCTACACCCTCCACCCTAAATACATGAACCCTGAACATCGAGCCCGAAGCCCTTGAACTGGTAAGTCCTAAGACCCAAACCCTCAACCCCGAAAGCACAACCTTTGGGCGAATCAGACCATAGAAGAGGAGCGTTAACCTCCTCACGATATGTTGCGATGGTGAGATAAAGATCTGAGACCACCTGGGCAGGAAGGCCCAAAGCCGACACCGTGACATTGTGCTGTCTGACCTGTTTGTCGAAGTTCCCGCAGGATCTGCAGGTCGAGTCTGCTCGGTCTGCCCGAGAAGAGCCCCCAGCAGGAACATCAACGAGCTCGCGACGGCACTTGAAGCATGTGAAAGCTGAAGGTGCCTGCGGCAGCGGCGCTGCCTTAGGTGCTTATAGGTTTGTGATGCAGGAACGAAGTCTGATTGGTTTTCGATCGGAATTCGCGCAAGCAAGTATTCTGCCCAAGACTGACCAAACCAGGCACAACGTGGTTCCAACCCACACTAATATTAGGGTGCTCTTTTTTTCCGATTATACCATTATGTGGGGGCGGCCCTCTCATGGTATACGGGTTACCTCAGGTGGACCTCAACATGTTAGTTTTAAGCATTTCGGCCGCTATTGGACCATCAGTTCAAGTTTTCTCCAAACACGGGCACTGAGGGACCTAGGAATAGTAGGATCCTGCAGGACCCTCACAGATCAGATTAAAGAATAGATTGAGAAACTCTTAACTACGTGGGTGGCACTTAGGACCCCTACTAAGGGCTAACTCTTAATTACCTATAATAGGAATATATATAAGGGAATCCCAAAAGGTTAAGGGTCTAAGGTCCAAGCTAAGTCCGATGGGAAGGAAGTACTCAAAACTCTCATAAAGAAGTCCAACAAGGCAATTTGCATGTTGAAAGGGTCCTGACTGACAAAGCAGCCTGGCAACACAATCTTCGCAATCGGAGCCAAATGTGCGGGGTGCTTAAAAGACGGCAAACCTCGTAGGTGTACATATGGATGGTACTGGCATTACAGGGTCCTGTCTAAACGATCGCCCATCCAAAGACCACGCATGGTAAGAGAAACATCATGTGGGGCTTTTTCAATACAGTGGACGCTGTGGGCGCTGATTAGGAGGCCAGGAGCGAGGGATGTCGGGATGAATGAGAAACTCCCGTATGTAATCGCAGAATATGCCCTGGAATCGCACTTCTACATTCACCCCTCAACCTGAAACCCATAGACCTTATCCTGCATCCCTGTGAGGTTTAGGAAATAGAGGAAAAGCCGACTCAAACTGTCTGGAGCACTCTGTGCTCCGGGCGACACGAAGATGTTCTCCGTTTTCAGGTCGCCGTGCACAACCTTGGGATACAAGCTTGATTTGGCCGCGCTAACCCACGAACCCCAAACTGGGTGGGTTGCTGTTGAGGAACAAGCTGAATTACTGTAAAAAATAAACCCTATACTTAGTACTTACCCATATTATGGTTGGTAACTTAAACGAAATTCCTTAACAGCAACCAAGTCAAACCTCAACCTCAACAGCCCAAGGCCGAGACCCCAAACCGCAGAACCGAACCCTCAACCCTCAGTCCAAAACCCTACACGGTTTAGGGCTTAGGGTTTATAGGGTTTAGGGTCAGTCCCCCACCCTAAGGCTCAAAACAACCCAAAAGCCTTACATAGTATGGTCTTTGGGTTCAAAAGCCTTCATTTCCGAGGTTCGATTACTACAACCTCAACTCGAAACTCGAATCCCTGAAACCTAGCCCTAAACCCTAGACCTTAGACCTATCCACAAAGCAACCCCCGCGAATCCAATCAGCCCAAAGTCTGGTCATACCGTAAGCACCTCCTAAAGCTTGTTCCCTGCTAGTTAATGACAGTCCCATCCAGGTAACAAGGGTCCAGTGCTTAGGGTAGTCTTATGAGTTATACTTATTAATTGAGGGTAATTACTACTAATCTGTAGGCAATTGGGGTTGCAGGTAGGGTTTAGGGCTTTGGGTAGTCCAATCCCTAAGCCCTAATCCCTGAACCCCAAATAACCCCCTGAACCCTTACCCCCAGTCCCAAACTCCCTAAACCCCAAACTCCCCAAACTCTAAACCCCAAACCCCCTAAACCCTAAACCCCAAACCCCCTAAACCCCCTAAACCCTAAACCCTAAACCCTAGTAGTATGTCCCTTCGCCTACGCAAGGCCCAGGTCCAAGGGCGTGACGCCTGCGGAATGTGCTTGGCAGACACCGGCAAGAACCTGCGGCTGCAGGTTCGTGAAGTAGGTACTGGTTGACGGGTTAAGGGTATTGGGGGTTTAGGGTCTGAGGGCTTTAGGTTCTAGTGTTTAGGATTTTTGGGTTTAGAGTTTTAGGGTCTAGGGTCTTGGGTTTTAGGGGTTTTGCACCTGGGATGAATAGGGGTCCACTGCTTATGAATTTCTTCAGGTTTTCAGGTTCAGAAGCCAGGGTTACGTTTTGTCCTTAAGTTCTTCCTTGGACCCAGAAGACTTTCTGCTCCAGCATGCTATAGCAAACATCCTGCTATGAAACACAAGGACTGCAGGTCTTTTGGGGTCCGACGTAGAGAAAATGGAGGCAGCCTTGCAGCACCCAAAGCTCTGCCATGAACACTACACTCAGCGTTGAACCTGAAATCCTGAACCCTAAACCCTGAGTCCCTTAGGCCCTAAACCCTAAGCCCTGAATCCTAAACCCATAAACCCAGTACCCCTATTGGGTTCCAGAGTGGAGGCTGCTGCCGGTTGACGGCAATACTCCCTTGATTCCACTTGCTACGGTTTGAGGCAAGATTTGGTAGTTTACCTAAACAGGGGGACCCCAGTGTAGACCCCCAAATACTCTAGTCCGAACACCCCAGAAGGGTACCCCTAATTTTGGGATCGGCGTCTCTGCGCCGGTGGACCATTTTTTTTCGCTTGCTCTTTTGCCCGAATGCCTTGCGGCCTGCACATAACTCCAAACAAAGCTTATTTCTTGTCCAGCTCTTCTCGCAGAGGCAAATAATGAAGCCCTTGAACAAGTAAAGCGTCAAGACTATGGGAACTTTTCAAGCCTGCTACAGAGGCCCTTAACATAGAATGCCAAAGACAAGGCCCTACTTAGTGTTGACAACTTATACTTCGATTAAATCTTAAACCTCTAAGCCCTGTCGGGTTTCCGAGATAAGCCTGCCAGCCTTTTCCGTCATCTCTGTTTTGCTTAACCCTGCTCTCTCAAGCCTATAACCCTTACCAGAAAAGCTATAGGGCTTAGCTTGAAACACCACACCCGAACCCTACGCCCGGAAAGAGCGCTTTGATTTTCAGAAGCAAGCGAAGCGTATGTCTTCCCCCTTGCGCAGGAGGTGTGCATGCGCGAAGGCCCGCGCGAGCCGAACTGAAACCTGCAGCACGGTATCTGAATCACTGAGAGGTTTTCAACTTGAAAAGGGGTCGTCAAAGTGGGGACCCACGGTCAAAGAGGGATTATATGGGGATTTCTCTAAAGGGAATGTGTGGGTTTAGAGTTTTCCTTTTTGGGGGGTTATGGGGTCTGACCTGTGCGGATGTGGACAACACGCCCCACGAGTGAGGCCTACCGTTAGATACTATATAAGTTTAGCCTAGTTAGGGTCCATGTACCTAATGATTGAGTCCCTTGGATGAAGAACCTACACCCTAAATACTCTTAACACCAAACCCGTGAAACAGACCTGACACCTCAACCCCCCCATACGCAAAAACCTGAAACGCACGCTTTAAGGTCTAGGATTTAGGGTTTAGGCTTCAGGGCTTAAGGTTCATGGTTTAGGAAACCCATAAGACGTCAACTGACGTCAAGTGAAACCTTTACATACGGCTCTTGGACGCCAGAACAGATCCCAGAAATTATAGCCGCCACAGTGCAAACCTTCTTCAGCAGGAAAGCCCAGAATAGTCGTAAGAACTTCAGTGTGAGCCCTCAACCTCCAAATCTTGCAACTCTAAGCACGTAACCCTAAACCCAAATCCCTGCAAACCCCAGTTTCCGTTCCAAGTTCCATGTTCTTCCCCCGTTAGTCCTACCCCCCAGACGCCAACCCCCAAATGATGATCTTTTGCCCTCAACCCTAAAAACTAAACGCCCCCGAAACCTCAAACCCCTAAACCCGAAACCATTAAACCCCAAACCCCTAAACCCCATAACCTCCAAAACCACCTAAACCTTTAGTAGACCCCAACCCTGTAATAGTGGTATAATATGAATATAGGAGGATCCTTTTACAATCACCATTATCCTTTATACTCACTATTACTGGGTGGTGGATCCACCTAACCTAACCCCAATAAAACACTAAAATCAAAGCAAGCCAATGCGCAGGCATCAGCTCAATAGCGAAAGTACCCAGGTGGGTCAACTCGCCTGGCGCACCAGTTGGGGTCTAGAAGCTTAGAGTTTAGGGTCTAGGGGTCTAGGTTTAGGGTTTGGGGTTTACAAGAGTTACTGGAACCCCAAAAACTATGTGGAACAATGTCTGTTTGGCTATTTGTTCTTTCTGATGTGGTTTCGGGCCCAATATTTTTAACCTGCTTTTCAGGTCCAAGTAGGTTTAAAGGTTATGGGCTTGAAGTTTGGGATTTCGGGTTTATTGTTCAGGGTTGAGGGAGGAGGATGTCGATGTCGGGCTCGGAGTTCAGGGTGTAGTGTAGGGGTTTCTTGGTGCGTACATAGTCTTCCCCAAAGCACACTGGCATGGAGCCCGTTTTTTGAGGGAGTCCCTTGATAAGGGGTGGGGGTGGGGAATCTGCGGAACGTTTAAAGTTAGGGCTTGCATTCTCCCAAACTAAGCCAAATACACCGGCCCTCTCTTTGAGGGACAGTGCCCTTTGTTGGGCCCTTTTTGGGGTTCCGTGCTTTTTGGAGAAGAGTGTAGAAGGAACTTGTGGTTGGCTGCCTGACATAGTCCCCGCCGAGTCGAGCAAGAGCTATGCAGGAAGCAAAATTCTGCAAAGCGCCATCTGTAATGTCTAGCACTTGTATGCGCAGATTCTGCAGTGGCTCGACGCCCGAAGTTGTGCAGCAGCCGCATCCAAGTCAAATATTGGGAGGTTTCTATCTACTTCAAAGACATGAGAGGACAAATGGACGCGCGGTGTAGCTTGAAACACGAGAAAAACTCTGAAGCACTTTTCATATTCTACCATGCCCGAAACAAAAGGCCCCATTCCAAAGCGGCCACACGACTACGACTACGAATCTCTGAGCCCTACACGTTAAATTCTACAATGCAAGATAAGCCCTTCCGTCCTCATGCGGATAACAGCAAATGAACCTGCATCGTCCTCGTGTGGGTTTACTAGAATAACTCCACAACAAGAGGCGCTTTCAGAGTTGACCCAATTAAGGTAAGCCACTTCTTGCAGCCGTGCTGGCCCCCGAAAACGCAGTAGAGCCCTTTGCTGCCGGCTTGTTGCTCTGGCCGCAGCAACTCACGGTAATCCAGGGCAGGCTTAAGCTCTAAGCGAGCTTCTGGCGTCTGCTGCCTTCTCTCCTTCTTGTGGCCCCGGTCGCGGTTGCTTCGACGACTATATGCTTGTGCTACTTGATGAAACCGAAGTCAGGCTTACCTCTGCCTGGAACCTCAAAAATATGTCAGCAAAAATCCAAACTCCTCGTATGCCCCTTGATAACCCCTATACTAGTCCCCCATAGACTGCCAGCTCCGGGTAAGCTTCAGACAAACATCTGGATGGGCAAGACAAGGAGAAATGCTAACTGAGAATTGGAGGCTAGCCCAAAGGGCCCTAAGTACCAATAATGGGCAAGACAAGGAGAAATGCTAACTGAGAATTGGAGGCTAGCCCAAAGGGCCCTAAGTACCAATATAGGTATTACTTACCCAAACCATAAGGGAAGTTACTACTACAGAAACCATACTTTGTACCATATGAGTACTTTGGACCCTTTGGGTAGAGTACCCCCCTGGAACAGGCTGGTTGTGCTAAAGCCATGCTCTAGCACATTCCCACCAAAGATTCGCGTTTCCTAACTGAAATTTGGTAAATATCTCTCGAACTATTCATGAACCCACTTACAAATCATCCGCCGAGATTTGCACTAAAGGGCATTGTCCTATCAGTACGTCACAGGTCCCCCTAAACCCTCAACCCTAAACCCCTTAAAACTTTTTTGTATTTGAGTCCAGTCGTCACACCGAACTTAAGCTCTATCTAAGCCATAATGAAACTCCTAGTAGCCCCCTTAGTAAGCCCAGTAATCCCCTATATCATACCCTATATAAGCTCAAATAAGGGCTTTAGACTATCAATAACCCATATGGTAGTTTCCCTAAATTACTGTTCTCAAAATGGGGGAAATTTATATAGGGCCCCGTAGTATAATGGGAACCCAAATATAGGACCCCGTATTATAGGGAATTTAGACCAATACCCATATAACCCCTTATAATATAACCCCAAATAAGGACTTGAGACTGCAGCTCTATCTAAACCCTGTGCCAAGCCCCCGTGCGCCTATACGGGGCCCCCACTTTGGATCCCCGAGCAGCCAGTCCTGCCACTGCCGAGAACGCATTGCCTAGTTTTTGCAGGGCTTATCCCTTTACCCTACGCCCTGAACCGTAAACCCTAAACCCTAATAGGGCTTAGGGTCTAAGATGTCCTAGGGGTATAGATTGTAGGTATAACATTTAAGTGTTGGGGCTCACAGGCTTTTAGGGGCTATCTTTCCGGTGCTTGGTCGTTTAGGGTTTGGGGGTCGATGGGGTCAGAGGTACACTGGCGGCTTACCCAGCCTTAATATAGGGTTTAGCGTGTAGATTTGGGGTCTAGGCTCTCGGGGATACTTCGCGCAGTTAGCATCTAGGGCGTATTGCATGTAAACTGAAAGTCGCGCAAGTCTGTTTTGATGTCGGATCCTCTGGGGATGACTTCCAGCAAATGCTGCCCAGATGGCGTTGCCTTGACTTCTGCGGGCTGAGGAGACCCTACAACTTTGAACCCTGTATCCTAAAATCCTAAACCCCCCAAATTAACCCTAAACCTTGAGGTTCAGGGTTTATTCTACCTGCCCTCTAGCGGTAGGTTCAGGCATAGGCCGCGTTTCTCGTCATGCTAAGCCAAAGTACTGCTTCACTTTGAGGGCTTAGGGTTTTAGCGTTTATGGTTTTAGGCGATTTAGGGTTGTGGGTTTTAGGCTTTGGGGTTTTAGGGCTTAGGGTTTTAGCAGTTAGGGTTTGGGGTTTTAGGGTTGTACAGATTCGTAGGCAACTACTAACTAAGGACCACAAGTTGTAGCCTGGCTCTAATATTGCGCATCTTGCCACCTGGCACAGAGACAATGTTGTCAGTACTAGTGAGGGGCATAACTGGGTTGCTGCAGGAACTTACATGAAGTTCCTTGACAGCAGCCCAGCAAACAAGAACCCTCGCAGCTGATTTCCAACTCGCTGCAGACAAAGGTAGAAGTTTCCAGAACTGGGGTCCCCTTTATCAACCACAAATTTCCTCAATGATTGTCATTGTAGAGATTGCAGAGACTCCCGACAAGGGACCTACCTTAAACCTCGAAACCCGCATTTCCCCAGCAAAGCCCGTCCACGCGAATCTCGTCCAAGCCCGCCTCTCAGCCAGCAAACATGCATGCCTTGGGGCTTGGACCTTTTAATTCAAGCGCCCAAAAGTATGTAGAATAATGGCATCTTGGGCTATGTTGAAGGGTTTTGGGCGGGGGTCACGAAATCCTAGCAGCTCGAATAACCCCAAAAGCCCCAACAAACAGAATAACCGGCTCATGAGCGGAAGAAGATGTTGGCACAGGTCTGCGAAGGCTACTACGACCTTGGTAGGGGAAAACCGAACTGCTAGACTTTCTTGTAATCTTTCGTAAAGCATTTCCCAAAACTTTCATGTACCTGAACCCCAAAAGTACGCAAAGCAAGTCTGCAAGAATCCTAGGCCTTACCCTAAGGCTCTTGGACCCTCAAAGTGGGATCCCAAACCTTAGCCCCCAAAGCCCAAACCTTCCTCAGAAAGCCCCAAATAGTCCTAAGAGCCCTAAACCCTAAACCCTAAACCCCTGAACCCTAAACCCCTGAACTCAAAACCCTAAACCCCTAAACCCAAACCCAAGAGCCTTAGGGTAAACCAGGAGCCCTAGGCTCCCTTCATCCTGCACCCCTCCCAAACCACAAAAGCACGCCCTAAACCCTAAACCCTAAGCCCGAAACTCCTGCAGAAGTTCCCTAACCTTACACTTTAAACCCTAAACCTTCAACCCTGTATAACTCCTATATATACACATATAGCCACTGTACATCCCCATATACCGATACCACCTATCAACCTTAAACCCCCAAACCCAGATGCTAGTTTCCCAACATTTTGGGAACCCCAACAAAGACCCCTCAAATACTACATCCCTGATTATGGGGACCCTCCCCCTAAACCATAATTTGGGGAAACCCCAAATTGCAGTCAAGACTCCAATTTTGCGAGCCTACGGGCTGCCAAGATGCGCCGTCAAAAGAGTTGGGGAAAAGGGTTTGGGGGCTTTAGGGGCGTTAGGGATTAGGGTTGAGGGTTTAGGGATTAGGGTTTAGGGGTTGCAGTCTAGGTTTAGGGGTTAAGGATTAAGGTTTGGGGGTTGGGGTTTAGGGTTTAGGTGTTGGGTGGTTTGGGACGTTTAGGTCTTTTTTTCGGTTTATAAAGTTTGGGGTTTTGGTGGTTTGGGTTTCAAGGGTTTTCATGGTTTGTGTTTTTTTGGTGTTTCGGTTCAAGGTGCAGCCATGTGTCCAAGTATACAGCAATTGGGTAGTCGGGATTGCTGTTATTCTGCCTCAGAGCTCGTGAACCTCTTCGGAAGCCAAAGTAGGCACTACTGCCACACCCCAAGCAGCAACCTCCGTCACAGGGAGGTTGGTTGATGCAGTAAGAGGAAATCGGTGACCCCAACCCCCTCGCCTCTTACCCTAATCCTATAATTTCAAGACCCAGATTCTAGGGGCTGGGTTTTCCCAAATCCTCATAGTGCGGAGTAGCTTTGAACATATGGCTAGGCTGCTCAAGCCCAGATGAACATTCGCGGGTAGAATCAATGGAGCAGCAGAAGATACAGTGATACAAGGATGTATAGCTCTTATCAGAAGCACAAGTATTCTTGAGGGTACTAGATTGTCCTAAGGCAACCCTACGAAACCTAAGGGTCCCAGTACCAAATAACCATATACTTACCAAAAATCTGTCCTATGATTGATACTACCCAAATCCCAAGTACCTAACTATTGGGTATATGAACCCTCTGGGTAAGGACTGTTGAAACAAGTCAACCCTTCAGGCCAACTCAAGGTTTTGCTAACTCTTGCGCTGTCTATCTTCAGCGCGAACAAAAAGCCCCATACCCTAAACCCCTAAAACCCCTAACCCTTGCACCCTAAACTTGAAACCAGAACCCCAAACCTTGTAAGCCTCTGGATGGGAGAGACCCTCCGCCTACGTCTGTGGGATCTTACCCTAAGGGACCATGTACCCAATAATAACGTCTCTTCGACAGGATATATAGGGATGTGTAGAGGGTGTAGGGTCTAAGTACCCAATAATTGAGTACTTGGGATTTGGGTGCTAGTAACTGTAGTACAGGTTTTGGAGAACTATGTGATTATCGGGCACTTGGACCCTTAAGCCTTAGGGTTACATGCCTTTTCAGAGACCTCCCCGCCTCTGCAGCGCAAAGCCCCAAACCATAAACCCCAATACCCTAACCCCTACACCCCAAACTCTGAACACCAAATCTCTGAGTCCTGTACACCACAAATCCAGAGCTCCCCTAGGCCCTGTACGCTTAAAGCCATATACGCCCCCAATCCCTAAACCCCATACCCACCAAACCCGAAACCCCTCATATCCAAACCCTACACCAAGACTCTCTAAACCCCCATATGGGTGGTTGTCAAAATTATGGTCCCTTGTTGTGTACCCTACATATTAGGTGCCCTACTATAAAAGGCATCCAAACAGGGACCATAATTTTGACAACCACCCATATGTCTGCATTCAGGATCCCAGGTACTGCTCCGAATCGCACCGCAGTCGCTGCCAGTGCTCCTGGCTTTCCCTAAACCGTGTTGTGTGGGTATCTGATGATAGGAGGACATACCGCTAGGTATTAGGTAACCTTAAACAGGGATAACTCGGGATAGCCAGTCCAGGTAGAAGTCTAGTTTTGGGTTGGGATTAGGGTGTCAGGCTTGGGTTTAGGGTTTAGGGGTTTTGGGGGTTTAGGGGTTTAGGGTTCGAGGCTTGTGTTTGTTCAGGCTTGGCATTTAAAGCTTTGGGCTTGGCGCTTGGGGAGGTTCTCAGCATTATCAGGCGAGTAAAGTCGTCCGTAGATCAAACGAATTTCCGGACGATTAAAGCATGTCGTAGCTAGCTGCTACACCCTTGAACTGTTCACTACTGTCCTTGCTGGCATTGGCAGCTTTACTTCAATTTGGAGTTGCTGGAAATATTGCTGCATTAGCCACCCTAGATCTCCAGCCCTGTACCCAACTTGCGGGTAGATGACCTTGACTTACGCCCTATGCTACACCCCACCACTACTTTCAGAAGGGCTGAACCAGGCAATTGTGCGGTTTGTCGTAGGCAAAGGGGTCTGATATGGCCTAACCCTGAACCCATTGACACCCCTACACCTTGCCTCTCAACTCTCCAAATGCTACACTCACTCTAGACTCTAGACTCTAAGCTCTAAACCCTCACTCCTAAAACCTAGCCCACATTACCCTAGGAAGAAAAAAGGTTCGGTCTGGTTCGAACCAACCACCCCCCACTGTGAACAAAAAGGATCCTTTTTACATAGCTATAGGGAATCCCATACCCCAAAAAATATCAAGGATCCCTAACATTGATCCAGAAAACCTACACCATGTCGAAGACCCAGGAGACCTGGAGTGTTTCTCGCAGGGGATTCACAAGCTCTTGTGGGAGCTCCTTCCGTCGGTTTTGTACGTAGAAGGATATACTGGAGGGCGCAGGGCCAAGATTCATGGATTGGAGGTTTGAGGCTTCGGGGGCGCATAATTGGAATACTGGAGAACCAAATGGAAACTAACATTGAAGGGGCGAATCTTGCAACTGATTTGGGGCTTCTGGAATTAGTTATGGTTGGCCGTCATCTGCCGTACGGTTTATATAGCGTTTTGATATTCATTTCCCAAGGTGAGTCATGGAGGCCCAGGCTTGGACAGGAAGGGCCAAAATGGTTTCAAACATCATGTTGAGGTCTGTTTCATTCACTCTATACTGGACTTGTACAAGGACCATTCTGTGGAGCAAATCTTGCACTGCTTTATATAGCTTATGCCCCAAGAATAGCGGAATTTTGAGAATCCTAAGTGGTGCAGGATTTCGTCCATCCACAGTAGTATGGGCCATTATTGAAACCCTTTTGGTAATTAGGGCTTCCCCTTGGTTGAGGCCGGCCAAAAACCTATAGCACGTAACTTGCATGTCTTGTTCCTTGTTTCCCCTTGGTTAACCACTAAACAATCACGAGCGATTGAAGCTCTCTTAGCAACGAGGCTTAACACCACAGGTGTACCACGCTTTGTGCTGTGGACCCGTTTAGGAGGCCCACTTGATGCGAATGATGTTGGCGCGTCGGCTGGGATCAAAACGTTCACGACTAGCTCGGATCTGGGCCATGATTTTACCTACTTCGGGGTTTCAGGTGAACCAAAACCACCCTAAACCCTCAACCTTCCATCTTGGACCCTCATCTCAGAGCCCCAGGACTAAAAGTCGTCTACCTTTGGTGCTCCAGGCTCATGTGAGCCATTGTCTAAACTCCTAGTATCCCCTTTAATAACCCCTATAGTAATTCCCGATATAAGCCCCCATATAACCCCCTTTAAGGAGTTTAGACTATAGTACATGTGATGTCCCACCCAGCCTTTGGGGGACCGAGGAGTTAGCTAACGTGTTACCACGTCAGATCCTCTTGATAAGCCCAGTATTATATAAACACTGTAGCCCATTATAAACCTAAGTTACCTAACCCAGCAACCATAATTCCTCCGGTCCGATGCAGTTTGCCGGATGGAGGGCGTTGACGTGGACCCTCCAAACCCGAGCCCTGCGCCTTGATACAAGGCTTGCAAAGCTTAGCTTGGACTTTCACCTTCCAGAATTCGCAGCCCGAAACTCCAATCCCTAAACCTTACACCCCAAACCCTTGAACCCCTATATCCCAAACCCTGGAACCCTAAACCCTTGAACCCTAAATCCCCAAACTCTGTTGGGCTCCTCCGGTTCTTTGGCATGCCGAGTCTGAAATCCTTCCTGAGGTTGTGGCTTTCAGAGGGGCCGTTATGCAGAGTGTGGGGCTTGGGATTGGGGGTTTGGGGTTGAGGGTTTAGGGGTTTGGGGTTTAGCGTTTAGGATTTAGGGTTTGGGGTTTGGGGTTTAGGATTGAAAGTTTAGGGTTTGGGGTATAAGGATACTGATTAGACCTTAATTGGCTGGAGCCCGCGTATGTGCTGAGCCACCTGGGTCCCAATGGCCCTTCTTCCTTGGGCCTGTGTCCTACATCTTTTGAAAGCGGGGTTTTGAACAACTTGTGTGTTGTGAGCACCACAACATGCATAATCCACTGTGGGTGTACATATGTATATGGTCGTTTCCTTAAATCAAGGAACCAAATCTAGTCCCCAGATTACGATGATCCTTCTTCTTGTGGGGACACCCACAAAGGCACCCGAAATCTTGGGAAATCCCCCATAAGAGGCACCCCATCCTCGAAAATACTCAAGCCCATGATCCAAGTAGCCAATAGTGTACAAGTTGTGGGGAAGTAAATGATTATTGCGTACTTGGATCCTTTGCGCAAATCAAATTAGAACAAAGATGGCACCCGATGTCATGTTCCAGGCAGGGGTAGCTATGGTTGGGAGGATGTGGTGATCGTCACCTGAAAGCATTCAAACCCTTGAAACTCCAAAAGTTTAAATCCCTTGACACTCTACCTGGAATGCTCGATATTCTGGAAGGCCCTGACCGTCCAAATTCGGAAGGCCCCCAGTAACAGCACCGCACGCCGCCAACTAACAAAAACTCCCGCTTCATAACGAGGGGAATATTTCTTTTCAGTGGACTAAGGGAGGGGGGTTCATTACTACCCCAATGCACCAAATAGCACAAAGTAGCGCATATTCATAGTCTTTGGGGCCCCCAGGTATGCATTCCGTGTGGATCAATCCCCCCCTAGAAGAAGAGCGCCGAATAGCTCCTAAATATGGAATTCATAGGTTTGGATCCCCTTAAAAGCATTCTGTATTCCCAGCGGTCCCTTCTGTACAAGGGCCTTTAGAACAACTCCCAATTGATACTGAGCAATTTGAGCCCTGAAGCCCTGAAGCTAATCCTAATCCCTAAACCCTGGACCCCTAAAACCATATATCTACTGTATACAGAATTCGGTAGCCTGAAAAAAAAGAGGGTGCGTTGAAGGGCGTACCCTAAAGCCTATAGGCCCCCTTGAGTAGATAGAATATGGCTTTGGACATAAATCTAATAAGATCCTCATATACCCCATGTTCTATCTACTTAAGGGGGACTATAACCCCTAAACCCTAAACCCTAAACCCTAGGTAAGGTTTGGTTCGGGTTTTCTGAATCCTAGCCCTGGCCCGCAGGCTGCTGAACCCCAAAATGAGATCTCAAACCTCAGGCCACAGAGCCTCAACGGTTTAGGGCTTAGGGTTCANNTCAGGGTTTGGGGTTCAGGGTAGGGGACCCAAGAATCAGGGAAGTTGCGGCTGAGTTTTTCCCAAGTGACGTGCTAAACCCTACACCTAGAAGCCATGGGGTTGTCTGGTCTTGGGTGCTTTTGTTTTAGGCCCCTAGGTTTCTTGGATTTGTCTGTTGGGTTTGAGGTTGCGGGGGCCTAGTGTTTCAGGCGTTAGGTACCCCAGTTGGGATCCAGAGCCTAGGATTCAAGGGTACATAAAGTTAGGCCCCTAAAGAATGGGTAGGAAAAAAGGGCCTAGGTTACCTCTGAAATTCAGGGTTTGGGGTTTCGGGATAGAGTTGTTGTGGCTCATGCGTACTCAGGGCCGAGCATCCGGGCTCCGGATTTAGAGCCTTGGGGCTTGTAGGGGATGTAGGATTGAAATTTATAGAGGGGCTTCAGGATGTGGGGTTGGTTTCAGGGTGTAGTTTTTTTTTT